TATTGCTGAATAATTCTTCTGGGAATTGCAAAATGATTGCATAACACCCCATAGCACTTAACAGCTTTTTTGTACATAGTTGACACTTAAAATAAGTTAATGAATAAATGACATTATCAATGAAAAGGAAGACGAGTGACAGGGAAATTAAGAGAGAAAAATGTTAGGTCCTACACTTTTAGGTCCAAATTGACAGCTACAAAATTACACAGAGAGGGAAAGGTGCAGCTTTATGTGTGAAAAACACCAAATATTTTAGTCAGTAACTAAACTTGCTATGAGTAGGTCAACAGTATGATTTTTGTAACCCCCGAAGTCTTATTCAAACATAGGCTTTGTTAATGAAAATATAGGGTAAAAGATAGACAAGGGGCTATGTTGTTCTACTCTTTACTGCACTGATCATTGGTTGCTTCTAGATGCCTGGAATGATGAAGGGACTCAAAATCCTGTAATATGAGAGGGATAAGTTTAGCATTTTGGTCTAAAGATGTGAAGACACGGGGTACATTTATTTATTTATCATCCATTCATTTGACAGATATTTACTGAGTACCTACTATATTCTGGTCTTTTTCTTTATAGAAGTTACATTCAAGTGTATGTGCCTGGGTGGGTTGGGGCAGATAAATAAATACCAGAAATAATTATATATATCATATATAATGTATTATATAATACAAATTATTTAATATTTAAATGTGAGAATGCAACACACATGAGCTTGTGTTTGTGTCAAGAAGTGGTAACTGCTATGGAGGGCGGGGTGGTAACAGGGCAGAACAACATTGTATAGTGATGGTCGGGCCAGGCTTCTCTGATAAGCTGACAGCTGAGAGGAGACACGGCGGATGTGGGATGGTGAGCTGAGTAGATGGTAAGGGAACAGTGAGTTCGAGGCTGTGAGGCAGGGGCCGGCCTGGTGATTTTCAGACGCATTGTGGCTGGGGCCAAATGAACGAGCCCTGTGGGGAGATGAGGTCAGAGAAGTAGTGGGGGCCAGGTCATGCCCAGCCTTGTAAACTCCTGTAAGTTCTTTGGCTTTTACACTGGATAGACGGTCACTGTTCTCAAATGCATCCACATATCAAACGTTTATTATGCCCTAACCTGTCCTTGAGAAACTCTCATTGTCATGGAGAAGATGAAAACACGAGTAAATATAACGACAATGCAATGCAATAATCACCATGACTTGTTAGTCATGTTACATAGTCATACATCAACTGCTCTGAGAAGGCTGGAGAAGATGCCAGCAACTCTGCCAGGGGGTTGCAGGGAGGGGCACGCAGAGGGGGTGGCGTGGCCACCAGAGCCGATGGCCAAATATTTCTGACCTGGTTTTCCAGGAGGACTGTATCTTCCAGCCCCCTCTTGGTTAGGTGAGGCCAGGGTACTAGTTCTGGCTGATGAATTGTGAGAGGAAGTGGTGTGTGTCTTTTCTGGGCTGGTGCATTAGCATTGCTGATGGGAGACGCCCTAGAGCTTTCTCTCTCCAGAGGTGACTGGCAGAGTTGAAGATAGTGGCTGCTCTGCTCTGTCAGCCTGGGTCCCTCAGTAACCATAGTTTCTTGCTGACTCATAGTGAACATGTCTTGTGAGAAATAATCTTTTGGTATTTGAAGCCCAGATTTGGGGATTCCTTTTTCCTATCACGTAACCTACCCTATCAGGTGATAATACCAAACTTGACTTTAATGGATTATTCTTTAGGTAGAGAAGGCTAAAGTTCATTTCATGTAGAAGAACTTAACGTTTGCTAACGCTATATGTGCAAGAGCATGACTTGTTCAATGAATGCAAGTATTTGAAGGGTTGTAAAATGCTAAGCTTATGGCAAAAGATGTCAGGGAGGTGGTATCCACCAAATGGAGGAATCTACAAGGAAACAGATTTTAGCTCAACATACAGACTAGCATTGCTAAGAATGAAATCTACCTGGTTGTCATGGTAAGTAGTGACTTCTTGGTCACTGGAAGTGTTCAGGTACAAGCCGAAACACTATTTAATGAGAGTGCTGAAGAGGGGTTGTTAAACATCAGATGAGCGATTGGGCTAGAATGAACACTGAGATCTTCTGTTTCCTGATACTTTATGAATTCTTGGTCTCATTGGGCTTTGAGGAGCCTACCCACTATAACACTGTTAGTTTCTTACGGCTGCCGAAACAAATAATTACAAACTGAGTGGCTTAAAAACAGCAGAACTTTATTCTCTCATAGTCTGGTGGCAGAAGTCCAAAGTCAGGCATCAGCAGGGTTGATCCTTCCTAAGGGCTCCAAGAGAGAATCTGTCCCATGCCCCTCTCCCAGCTGCTGGTGCCTGCTAGCATCCTTTGCCATTCCTTGGCTTATAGATGCATCACTCCAGTCTGTGCCTGTCTGTGCACCATGTGCTCCTTGTTTCTTCATGCTGTTGTCTTCTTGAAAGTACAGCAGTTTGTAATCCTAGCACTTTGGGAGGCCGAGGTGGACAGATCGCGAGGTCAGGAGATCAAGACCATCCTGGCTAACATGGCGAAACCCTGTCTTTACTAAAAATACAAAAAATTAGCTGGGTGTGATGGCATGTGCCTGTCGTCTCTGCTACTCAGGAGGCTGAGGCAGGAGAATCACTTGAACCCAGGAGGCGGAGCCTGCAGTGAGTCAAGATCATGCCACTGCACTGCAGCCTGGGTGACAGAGCAAGACCCTGTCTCAAAAAAAAAAAAATGTATAGCAGTCATACTGGATTAGAGGAACCCCTCTACTCCAGTACGATCTCATGGTAACTTAGCTACTTATGTCTACAATGATCCTATTTCCAAATAAGGTTACATTCTGAGGTTCTGGGGAATAGGACTTCAACACATTTTCTTTGGAAAGCTGGGGCACAATTCATCCCATAACAAGTACTAGCAGCAATTGGGCCAAGCTAAGCATTTTCATTGTATTATTTTATTTATGTCTCACAACAACCTATAAGCTAGGAAAGAGTGATATTTAGGGGTCAAAATATTTAGCAACTGGTATGGTTTGGGCTGCAACCAATCAGAATGGGACATCAGCCCATCAGACTTGCTGCAGACAACCAGCAGGGCCCCGTGGTGATTTTCCTGTGGTGGTAGGTCCTCTTTCTATCTCCATTATTTAAGATAAAGAACGTGAATCTCAGGAAAGGCCAAGGGATTTCACCAAGATTGCACAGTTAATGAACAGAGGAGGCAAGACTGAACCCAGATTTTGCCAACCATGGTCTCTGCTCTTAGCGGCTGTTTTCCAGTCAGCTTTAATTAGGGTCTACATACCACTCTCATGAAAAGACCTAGAGCTCTTAAAAGTCAACGCTCTTCTCTCCCTGGGTTCAGATTTAGGAATTCCCAGCAGGGATGACTTGGAGGTTAATGTTTTCTCCACCAATCCAAGCTATCTCCCACAAATTGCTTCAGTCTCTTCTCCTTGAGAGGAGGCTTGTTTTGTGGCTCTTTATTTAAAAGTCTCCAGCCTCTATATTGTCCCAACAGGAACAATTGTAACCCAGTAAACTTTGGTCCTGGAGGAGCTGGGGGTCATTTTCTAAACTTGTCCTTTTCCAGAGGAGAAAATTTTCTACCAAGCCAGTAGTTACAGAAATCCATGGCCTTGCATGTGCTACCTCAGGCTTCATTCACTTCTCTGAGGTCCCCCAATGTGTCCTGCACTCCAGCTCCATCCCAAGCCCTTGACATACCACTACCAACTTCTCTGCTTCTCTCCTGTGCTGCTTTTCTAGGGGAAGGCAGAGAACAAAGACAGAATGAACGGCACGAGGTGCTCCATTTTTCTCACTTCCTCTGAGGCCTGCTGAAGGGAGAAGGGAAATGAAACTAATGTTTATTAAATGCCTCCTTAATCAATGTGCCCTTACTGTTGCTAAGCTCATGACAATTATTTCAAAGTGGCTTGCTTTCTTGTGTCCCTGAAAGCTTCCTTTCTGGCTTCATTCTCTACTGCCACCTCCTCTTCTTCCGTACTGCAAAGAATGCTGACTGTTCTGCAGGTGGCCTCTTTCTTTGGCACTGTTTAGTGATGCTGTTGGACAGCTTTCGCAACTTCCCATGAGGAAGGCCTGGCCTAATGCTGTGGCATGTCTGGAAGTGCTGCATTGGATATGTTCATCCCCTGTAGAGAGGTCTCACTTGTTCTGGGACCCATTCTGTGTCTTTGGCATGAGGCAGTGGGTAATGTTTAAACCAGATGCAAAACCTGTCTCCACAGGCAATAACTTTGAAGGCTTGAGGGGACTAGAAGAGCCTCCTCTCTGCCCCTCACTCTTCTTATATCTCAGATGAGTCAAACAGACTAGAACGAGTAAAAGTCTAGAACCATAATGGGCCAGTGAAAGATGGATAAGCAGTATGCCATGGTCTGAATGTTTGTGTTCCCCCAGAATTCATGTACTGAAATTCCCTAAGGTATGGCATTAGGAAGTAGGGACTTTGGGAGGTGATTAGGCCATGATGGCAAAACCCTCATGGATGGGATTAGTGCCCTTTTAAAACTCTAGAGAGGGTTGGGCACAGTGTCTCATGTCTGTAATCTGGACACTTTGGGAGGCCAAGGCAGTTGGATTGCTTTAGCCCAGGAGTTTGAGACCAGCCTGGGCAACATGTTGAAACCATGTATCTACAAAAAATACAAAAATGAGCCGTGCTTGGTAGTGTGCGTCTGTAGTCTCAGCTACTTGGGAGGCTGAGGTGGGAGGGTTTCTTGAGGCTGCAGTGAGCTGAGATTGTGCCACTGCACTCTGGCCTGGGTAACAGAGTAAGATCCTGTCTCAAAATAAAAGAGAGATAAGGATACTCCTTGCCTCTTTTACATGCGAGGACATATCTAGAAGGTGCCATCTAAGAACCAAAGAGTGAGGCTTCATCAGACTCTGAATTTGCCAGCATCTTGACCTGGGACTTCCCAGCTTCTAGAATGGTGAGAAATGAATTTCTTTTGTTCATAAGCCACCCAGTCTATGGTATTTTCTTTTAGCAGCCCAAGTGAACTAAGGGGAAAAGGAGGGAAAAACCGAGAAGGAAGAATAAAAAGAGAAGGTGGAAAAGAAAAAAAAATGGAAGAGTGCCAGGCTGGTGGAGAAACAGATAAGAGCTCCACAGGTAGAGTGCGAAAATATAAACCTGAGGGATAGATAACACACCCAGGGCTCAATGATACACTAACCGTTGTGAGCAAGACAGATGGTTAATGACCCTACAAATGGGAGTGCAAGAGAGTTGCAGTAATTCGATAGATTGATACTTAAGAGATCCACGTGGTTCCATTGATTCATTTCCTTCAGGCCAGCTTCCTTATCAATATAATTATCATGGCCAGCACCAGAGGTGTCTCCAGGTAATTTGTAAGAGGTGGATAACAGGATCATCCTCAAGGCTGATTTAGTGCCTTGTTAATGAGGTGCTCACTCCCCTCTAGGGAGGCCTGCAGGGAGAGACTTGGGTCACCCAGGTTGGCTGAAGCTTGTGTCCCATCCAAAGTTGTTTTTCTTTTCCTCTGCCTCCCCTACATGACCTCCTCTTACTTTTTGCAGGACTGGGAGGAAGGACTGGGAAGGTGAGAAGGAAAAGAAGTAGCCAGAAGGTACCCACATGCCTTTGAGCTTTTTTCTTTTTGTTTTTCTGGAGTCAAAACGGAATGGAAAAGACCACCATGAGGCAGAGGGGCCTCAGGAAAAAAAAAGCAGTGTAGGAGGGAGAATGAAATGAGTGTGTAGGTCGTTGGGCAGGGAAGGAGAAGTGACCTCCCAGGGGCTGGGTGGCTGGTGCCATATTTGGATTTTCCAGCTTCTGCCATTCGTGGTCCCCACTCTGTCCTTAGGGGTGATTTATAAACCAGAATTATGTCTGTGGAAAATGACACTGGCTTTTTTTTTTTTTTTTTTTTAGTTAGAATTCGTTTAAAAATAGTTTCCTCCCTGCCGTTGGGATGCTCTGTCACTTGGAGAAAGAGGGTAATTATGAAAGACGAGGGTGTAATGTGATTACAGCCGGCCCCATTGTGTCAGTGGAGGCAGCACAGAGCTGCTGGGAGAACTCGGAGCCAGCCCCTCTCCATCAGCGCTGGGCCTTTATTGGGCCTGTCAGATTTCTGAAAAGAACCCGAGGGCAGAAAACTCCCAGCAGACAGGACTCCATGGCTGGCCCAAAGCTGTCAACAAGGACATGGAATGGTGTGGGAGGATGTGCTGGGCCAGCCCGGGTGCTGCCTCCCACCAGGCCTGGCTGCCCAACGCCCCTGACCATGTGCTCTCTGATGTATCCCCATGTGGGAATCTGCAGGAAGGGTCTTTGGTTCAGAACCTAACAGATCCACACTCATTTTTCAGCACAGGCTGTCAGCCAGTGTGTTTGTGGCTTCATGTCAGTATGGATTAGGAGAAACCTCAGTGGCTGTTATATGGGACCTGACTTCTAGTCTTTTCCTCTGATTCTGCCTTGTACTACCTGGGAGAACTCTAACTGACATTACCTTTCACAGAGATTTCTTCTTCATCTGGAAAATGGGATCTTGAGTATCAATCAAGGGAATGATACCAAGGGAATAATGAAAATATCATGATCAGAAGTGAAGACTGGAAGTGAGGGTGAGGTCAGCCAAGTTGGAATTCCACTTTAGAATATAACTGGCAAGGCTGGGCAAATCTTACTGCTGGGGATGGGGGGGCACCTATTTCTTTTTAGGTAGCTGTTGATAGGAAAATCTGTCTTGTAACTTTAATGCTAAAATTTTATGATGTATGAACTAGGTTTCCCCATGATAAATAGAACCTAGTTTAAGTCAGAATTTGATTTTTATAGGCTACAGAGAATTCTTAACATTTGTAAAGTCTCTGACAATTATATATATATAAATACTTATATATATAATTGTTATACACACATATACAAACATACACACACACATAAACATGATGTATATGATTCCATTTAATCCTCACAAGAATTGATGAGATTATTCTCATTTTATAGATGAGGATATGGGAATGATTTGCCCAGTGACACAGCAAGCTAGAACTAAACTAAATCTTGAATCATATTTCCAGGCTCTTGGTTCAGTAGTAGACACCATAGCTTCCCTTCAGCAGCTGCCTCTATCCTTGGAAAGTAGGTAGGATATAAATAATGAATTTCTAATTAATCTATAACATTTTGATCAGAAATTCTTCCAAGCACCTGATCTTTTGCTATCATTAATGCCTATTTTTCATCTGTGTTTCTTGTGCTTGGAGAACAGCATGTCACCATTCATGTTCAATTATTCTTCTTGAAGAGTCATATTACCTTTCATCTTTTTCTTCTCTACATTTAATACAACTGCAAAGCAAGTTTCTTTGCAAGAAAGATTGCCAGCCAGACTGTAGCCCAAGTTGATGGTTTCTGTTTCCTGCCCATGACCCTTTAGAACAGATTGAGAAATTGGTTTGAAATATAAGAAGTGGCTTCTTCCCTCATGGAGCTTATTATCTAGTTGAGAAGACTAGGTTAATACACACGAAACTGAAGAGCAAGGCAAGCCAATCCATGTTTATGTACTGAATTAACATCACTCATTTTAAATTAGTGTTTTAAAGGTGGGCAGAGATGAGCATGGGAGACGTGACTGGACAGATGGTATCTGGGTCCAGACGGAGGGGCTGTTGGAGGGTGGAGAGGAGTTGTAAGCAGTGGGTGGGAGACAGGCGGCAAAGGGTATAGAATCAGCAGAGTGTACCGGAGCCCAACGCCCAATAATAGGAAGTCTGGATGCTGACGTGACCGTCTTCAGTCTTCATGAAGTCTTAAAGTTGATTAAAACTGAAAATAATACATACATTTTGGTGTGTGCCTGTTAGATAAGGGGCTGGTCACAATTAGCATTTTAGCAGATGGACCGCTGGACGTTAAGCTCTGGAAACACTGCTAATATGTGCTTAGAGCTTCAAATTAATTATAACTGTAAACATAGAAACTGCCTTTTTTTTTTTTTTTTTTAGAACATTGAAACCCTTTAGAAACAAATCTTAGGAATAGTCACCTTTGAAAATTATACTCATCCACATCCAGAATACCAGATAAATCCATCTGCCCTAAAAATATTAAATGACAGATTCAAATATCAAATTCATATTGTTTCCAATTATATGGCATAACTATATTGGAGTTGGTCCTTCCAGCAGGAAGCAAATAATTGCTTTCATATATTGGATATCCATTTCTTCAGATTACTTGTGTGCTGGAAGTAGCAACTTATTAAAGTTCAGGTCTAGTAGTCTAAAGGAGTTATTTACTTCATTGTGTACATTATGTCTTTTAGAGCATGAAATAGCACCGCCCTAACCCAAAGACTACAAGCAGGTGAATTATACCTTCTAGTGCATGAAATAACATAATTATTTTCTACCTGAAATTTGAGGAAGCTCTGAGAGTACTGGTATATGGAGCACAACCTGCTTAATTAAATTCAGTTACACGCTGACTGCATGCCAAGAAGGGGGCTAGGTTCCATTCCAGATGTTGAGGTCAGGCTAGAGAAGTCTCAGGCAACTCCCTGTGTAACTAGGAAAAAGGAATTCATATAGCAAGAATAAATAGGAGGCCATGAGGAGTACTGTATCAGAGGTATGGGAAATTCTTCTGGGAGCCCAGCAGAAGGACGCATTTTAACTGCAAGACTTCTCTAGATAAAGACTAATGGAAAAGGTAGCTTTTAAGCTGGGTCTTGGAGAATGAGAAAGATTCTGAAAGGAGGAGGCAATGGAAAAGGCAGTTGAAGTGGAGTAGAGAATGAGGGGAGTCATGTTTGCAGAAGGGCTTGGTTCCTGGGATAGTACAACGTAGGGGTGTTTGTGTTCATGGATGAAATGTACTAAGAAGACGTCAGAGAGCCGTGATTGACATTTTCAGAAATTTGCTTTGTATCTGTGGGCTTGTTGAGCCAGCACTGTTTTCAAAGCAGGGCATAACATGATTAAGAAACCCTTTGACATCTGCAGTTGCAATTGGCCTCAAAGGTGAATTTCAACCTGAAAAACATAAAAGATTTTTTTCTTATTGCTTATCTTATTTTGCAGTTATTTAGTCAGTAAGGCTCAGATTAGCCTTCCCTATTACTTTAGAGAGTGGTTTTTTAGGGTACATAATTTCTTAAATTCCTTTTGTCTCACTTTCTTGACAAAATGCATTTTGCTCTCCATTAAGTTATACTGCATCATCTTTGTTCATTATTGTTAAAAGGGGGCGCCAATTGAATTCAAATGTTCTTTTGTTAACTGCTAAATTTAGGATATGTATTATAAAATATTGGACTTTTAAATGTGTTCAATCTGAATAAAGACAAAATTGACCATTTAGCTACATTCAGCTGCGTTTCTGACAGCGTAAGAATACGGATGGCACTGAGTGGGCTCTGAGAGACGCTGATAAACAGAGCACGTTTTGAGGGGTTCCCAGAGTTTCTATGGGATCCACATAGGTTACAAAAAAGCCCACTAAGAGGATGCAGGACGTTTCAGGGGTTTGGGATTTATATCTGAAATAACTTGCGCGTGGTGTCCAGTTCCCTTTTACTGGAGTTCTTCCTCAGCACAATGTCCCTTTCTCCCCAGCCTTTGCGGTGCACTGCTGTGGGGACTCCTTCTCTTGGCACACACACTTCTTGGAACTCTTCATTTGCCCCTCCAGAGCTTCTCTCCATCTTTCTCAGCCCTGATCTCTTTCCCAGGAGGCTCCCTTGCCCTGAAGCTTCCCATTTTGCCAAAGGGGAGCCCCACCCAGAGAGCTGTGGTGTGGAGGAGAGTCAGGTCCTCACTGCCTCCCTGGAGGCTGCCTGGGGCTGGCTGTGCCCCTCGGCTGAAGGATACTGCTTGCTTCTCTCAAGGTGACCTTCTCTGCGCCACTGAGCAGACTGTAGTTCCAGGTTTTGGTAACCTCTCACCCACTCCTCTCACCTCTTTGGGGGCTGAAGGATGGTAACGGGTCAACTTCAACTAGACCTGACCACAGTTCCCTTACTGACCAACCCGTGGCTGTCCAGTGCCTGTCCCTGCAGGTGTCCACAGGAACCTGACTTCCTGGAGGGGCTGTTGGCTCTAGATGTTTCTTCCTGTCCCCAAGTCTGTTAAAACTTGCCTTCCTCTGTGACTCATTCCCTCAGTAGTCAAATGCCAAAGTGATACGAGATACAGTATTGGCAATAAATTAATGCCTTCTGAAAACCTCTTTGGAAACAGGTAAGACTTATGCCATAAATAACAGTGACATTTTCATTTTAACAGCAGCCTTCAACTAACCTAACAGTGGACATGGTTCGGTGTTGCTTCATGCTGTAGCAGAGATTTATCGCCTGTAAAAGGTTTCAACATTTTTTCTTGCATTGATCTTCCTACCTTTCCCCTTTTGAAAAGCACTAAAATGAGTTAGAAAAACAGAACACCTGGTATTTGCAGAGCTCATTTGAGTTTTCAAGGTGGTTTTGTACACATAATCTCGGTTGATTCCAATTCTGTAAAGCATGTAAAGTGGGCATATTGCTCCACTTTACAGATGAGTAAACTAAGGCTCAATCCTATCGATAACAAGCCATAAAGTTGGTAGTGAAGAAGTGCTCTGAAAAATTCACAGTGTAAAAAGGAATCCAGCTCACTTCTTCTTTAGTTTGTTTTTCTCATAGGAAAGATGGAAAAATGCAGTGACATTTTAAAATATAATAGAAGTGCAGGTTTATTTAATTATTTAGCTTTATTTCTTAGGAAGAATATGTTCTCTGATTTTTTTTTTTTTTTAAGTTTCAGCCTTCTACCTTCTCTACTCTCTGGACAGTTATAGTTGCTTTAGTGAGCAGCTCACCGAGGTGATGGTGTGGGAGTGCACTAACATTGACTCTAAGCAGCAGAGCTGGACGTGGGTTGAGTCTGCAGCTGAGAGCGAGACTAGAGTGAGTGAAGCCAAAGCCAGTCATTGCAGAGGGAGACCCTGCTGTTTCTCTCTATGGATTTATTCAGCCATCCTCCTTCTCCAGGACTGGATCACCAGGCTTCAGGACTGGATTACCAGGCCCCAAAAAGCACTCAGATTTCCCTAGCAACAACTTAAAACTTAATTCTTTCCTTGAAGTTCTTAATAGGAAAACCTATTTCTTTGATCCTAGTTTGCATTATCAAACAGGATTGCTGCAGGGAAATCATTATAAAAGCGTTCCCCCCCGCTGAGCAAGACACTAGCTCCATTCACTAAATAGAAGCCCCAAAGCAGGTGAGCTATTTCCCAAAAGAATGGTTCTGATCATTTTCCATGTCATATTCATCAGAGGTTGTTAGAAGATAATTATGAGATAGGCAGTGATGTGTCTTGCTACCATTCTGGAATATTATACCTTCTTTAGTCTAGACCCACAAAGGTGTCTAGAATGATACAAACTTTTGATCTGTAAAAGGAGTCCACAGTATCAAGTCAACCAGGAATATTTATTGCCTTTCTCCAAAATGACAAGATCTCTGGGTTCTTCCTAGATAACCAAAAACATGGGACTGGTGGCTAGGTTTACCCAAACCAGCTGCATTTGATTGGGAAGGGAAAATCCCACCACCTTCAGGCTAAGCTGATCAGA